AAATCTTCCCATCAAACCATAGACATGCTCACGAACGGGGTCATCACAAAGAGATGAACAGCAGGTAGGACTCACGGCCAAGGATCAGCAGCAAATAGGAAACAGCCTACAAGGTTCTCGGCCACAGCCAGGGATGGGGATAGGAGGGGCTTACGGTTAGAGCAAGGAATGGCTACCAAACTCCATAATCAAAGGCAATATATAAGACAATAAATGAGGCTTATAGTTAGGGTAATAAAGGGGCCAAAGAATTAATAGAGCTCACAGTTTAAAGTAGCAGAGAGCAACTACTAAGGCCCATAACCACCCATAACCAGAAGCCATCCACAGCACGAGGGGCTCACAGCCAAAGCCAACAAAAGGACCACCAAAAACAAGCAGCTATGTCTCCCTGACTAAATGAAGGGATAACTGAAATAAATATGATTTTCCTTTTGGATGACAAACTTGATTCAATTCCCTACAAGCTTTGATATACATAGGAGAGTATGAAATATCACCAATCTCTCAAAGTAACAAGTTTAATCCCTCTATAATCATTCAAATGACTCAAACTCAACAAGTGGGTTTCACGGGTAGGAGTAGGAATCAAAGCCAGTCAATCACCTCTCGGGTAAGGGCAAGGCAAAGCAAAGCAAGCCCCCTCAACTAGAGCCAAACCGAGCCCAACAAGGCCAAAACACAGCCCCCACTTTAGAGTCAAGCTGAGCCCAACAGGGCTAAAACAAGCAAACACAGCCCCACTCTAGAGCTAAACCAAGTCCAGCAAGGCCAAACAAAACCAACACATCATCCCATCTAGAGCCAAGCTGAGCCCAGCAAAGGCCAAACCAAGCCCAACCAAGAACCAAACTTAATCAAGAAACATAGCCAAAGCCAAACCGGGCTCAATCAAGAACCAGAGCCAAAGTCGAGCTCCCAACTAGAGCCAAACCGAACTCAATCAAGAATCAAAGCCAAAGCCGAACCCAACAAGAAACAAAACCTAAGCCAGCCCAACAAGAAACAAAGCTAAAGCCAGTCTCCAACTAGAAATAAAACCAAAGCCAGCCCAACAAGAAACAAAGTTAAAGCCAGACACAGACAATATTAAAATCCAGATTTTCATAAAAAAAAGAAGTTCTAGCCATTTCAAGCCAAAACCAAGCCCGAGGAATCACCTGCATATCTAAATAT